AACTGACGTTTAGATAATTATGGTATAAACCGTATAAGCCCTTCATGGCAAGCCGGACTCTATATTAAATTACGATATTTTGATAGGTCGTGATGTTTTGAATAAATTTAAAATTAATACTAATGCCATCTCTGCCCTGAGTCTAAATAAATAAAATCTTAAAAAAAAAGGAAACTTGTTCTTTACAACCCAATTTATATGAGGGCTGTTCAATAAATAATGTCCTGAACTGTATGACATACAATACAGATATCATATGACATTAATCTTGACTTTCTCTCATTATTGAATCTTTACTGAATTTATTACAGTTTATGTGACCACTTTTCATCACATAGTTTCATCGTGAGAAGCTGGGAAACAAGGGCTTTTCGAGACACTGCATTATAAATGAATGGTAAAGAATCAGTAAACTAGAGTGAAAATAAAGGCTACATTAAAGCTGCTGTAAAACTTGTTAAAAATCCCAAATAAATATTCACTGAAATATGTGTCATTTACAGCAACCGATGCCTGTTTTATAGACAAATGAGCAGTTGAATTTCAATGATTAAAAAATTATATAATGGGCATCAAAAATGGGTACCCTCCTTGCCAACAAAAATTATAACAACTTATGTATTGTTTGCCTTTCAACAAATAATATTTGATGATGTATGATTGACTTTAAGACACATAGCAAATTTAATAGACATCATATCGGGAGTAATTTACACTGTTTTAAGAAACGTTTGACAGTAAAAAAGATTGGTACTCAAAGGTCACCCTATATTTTGAAAAATGAGTGAAAACGACAGCGTGTACGAAAGTCTTAACAATTATTTTAAAATAACAGTATTTGTAGTTATTCACGTTTGTTTTATATTTAAACAGATTTTGGAACATGAAGCTATTGCTTAAAATTATCAAAACAAAATTTACCATAAGATGTACTTGATAAAACTGCGAGTGTCTGACAAAAGCAAAGGTATGCAAGAGCACAAAGACAAACTTATATGCAATTTTCTTGAATATTAGTGGTAGTGTTGTTCAAATTCGTATTCGGGGAGACAGTTTAATATCTGGTGGAGTCTAGAAAGCAATTTTTTTGCAAAAAGATCGATAGGTTTATTTGAGCAAGGACCCAGAATCAGGAATCCACTACATTGAATTTCTTCATGACAGCGTCCAATCCCGCATGCCCTGAAGAGTAAAGGTGTTTTCGAGATAAACAGAAAGTTAATATTTTTTCAAATTAACAATATTTGCCAGATCTTTGACCTTTTGACTTGTTTCTATTTCCAAACTTAAAAAAAACACCTTTCAGAAGGAAAAAACAAGTCCGGAAAATCACTGGGTCTGCCATTTTCCAGTATACTAAGGGTTATACCCAAAAATGAATTCTAAAAACAACCAGAAATTGGATAAAAAATGTTACAGACATGTGTTTGAATTAAAAGAGATTAATAAATAAAATCATGAAGACTAAATCATTAAAAGGCGTCGTTTGCTTCTTTCTGAGCACCGAGGACATTATTTATTGAACAGCCCTCGTATTTAAAGGTACTTGGACACAGATTTGAAGTTAATATTTTCTCTATAATATTACGACTTATATATTTTAATAGCATTTCACACAAAAATTAATTAAAAATCTTATTTCGTTTAAAAGATATTGAAATTTCAAATTTTTCGGCGGGTTTGATTGACATATCGTTGCACTCTCACAAATTTAATTTTATTCTTAATCCTTAGGAAAAGTGGCAATCTCGTTTTGTATAAATGAAAAATATTAATACTATAATCCAGAAAATTCAGAGTAGACACGTTCGAAAGCAAAACAAACACACAATATATTGTCAGTCCGTGCAGTTGTGGTAAGCAGACTGTGACGATTGAACGCACCCGGTGAATTCTAAATATAAACAATAACAGAACTCGAGCCCTGTTTACAAAAACTGTGTACATAACACGAGTGTGCTCGATTTGCTAAATTCTGCACGCACCTCTTAGTTCGGAATGACGATACTTGTGAAGGTGTTTTGCTTTCTAACATTTCTACTCTGAATAAAATTATTTTTCTTGATAAAAGTTTTAATATTTCTCATTAAAACACATCAAAATTGCCACTTTTCCTAAGGATTAAGAATAAAGTTAAAATTTGTGAAAGTGCAAGGATGTGTCAATCAAACCCGCCAAAAAATTTAAAGTTTTAATAACTTTTAAACGAAATAAGATTTTTAAGTAATTTTTGTGTGAAATGCTATTAAAATATATAATTCGTGATATTATACAGAAAAAATGAGAAAATATTAACTTCAAATCTGTGTCCAAGTACCTTTAAAAGTCAGCAAAATGAAAAATGACTTTAGCCATTCCAATTGGCAGTAAAAATGGTTTATCAGCTGACCAGATTTTGTATTCCTATTGGGAAAATAAACTGAAAATTAAATAAAAAAAAAGAAATATCTTACTGCTGCCTTCAATTCGACACAAGGGTATCCAACGACGTTTTATCAATATACTAATTTAAAAGTAATTGATATTCCTACGTTAAATCTGTATATATATCCCACTGAACTTAAAGGAAAAGACACTGCAGAGCATGACATTTATGTTTTGTATATATTTGTTTTATTTGTTAAGACTCCGATTGCACCCTAACAATCATGTTTTATGATAAACTGATGACCTTTTCTGACTGTCATCTTCTCTTGTTAATTTAGCAATACATAATTCACCATTATCCATTGTTTACAGTGTTCATGTCTCCTATAGTTATTTTCAAGAACCGAGGCAGACTAATGGGAAATAAGCTGATTCTTCAAATTTGTGAGCATTTTTAATCATTGTCAATATTTAGCAATTTCTCTATATATCTTGTTGATAAAATGGCATTGGTTGAATATATATATATGGTATCATACAAAGAGCTTACAGCATGCGTGATCGGTCGACGGGAAATATATATCATCCATGACACGTGATCCCACCCAAGTTTCAGGTGGAAGGGTATCCTGTTTGCTCTACTCCCATTTGCATTGTTAGTAGGATGATTCTTGTTCACATTTCATGAATATATCATTATCATGTTTTCATCAGTGAATATACCTTGCTTTATGGCGTGTCTTATGATAGATGTAACTTCTGCAGCCTCCCCCTGCGTTTTCTGAGCGAAGCAATCTGAGGTGGCCACCGAATCCTTCAATCCTACAAGGTTAAAGTTTGTCTTCTCCCCGCCAAACAAGGCTGTAGCCGTCTGTGCAGACTCGGGTACTTGCCTGTCTGAGCCGTATACCTACAATTGATATAGAATGGATATTAGCACTATTTAGCATTTTTCTTCGACAACTTAAAATTACCCTCTATCTCCATTGCGTTTAAAAAAAAACAAAAAAACAAAAACAACAAAACAAACAAACAAACAAAAAAAACCCCACACACAGTTACTAGAAAATTTGACCTCAGATATCACATTTATTCACATAAAACAAAATAAAGAGATAAACTTACTTTAGACAGAGCCACATGAGGAAATTTTTCGAATTCCAGAATCGTTTCTTCTCCTGGATTGCCTTGTTTCTGTCCTTTGTAAATTCTAGCAGCATTGATAGTGGACAATCCCATACCATCCCCGACAAACACGATGACATTTTTTGCAATCCCCATGTTTGGTTTTAATTTTAGAGCTTTTTGAAGAGATTCCTTTGCAATATAGTTCCAGTTGGTACAATGAATTCCTACAAAATCACGGCCGAGTTTGAATATGTTCCCGATTTACTCCTTTTGAGTAATTAAAGAGAGACCCGAGAACTATACATGTATTTGTGAAAAAAGGAATTCAGTACATGTATCTCTTCAAAACTTATTATCAACTTTTAATCCATACAGTTTCACGAAATTAAACACCAAATAATGGCAAATATATATAAAGATTAGTCATAAGAATTACGAATTTTCTTATTTTTGCATGACCATTGACCTAGAAGTCCTGTCTTTAAATATTTAGGATACTCTTTAATCTATTCATTGAAACATTCGGTGAACCCTTTAATGAGTTATTGCCCCTGAAACTTTTTGAAAATTATTAAATTTGATACATGTGTAGGTTCTGGTCTTTTATAAAATATTGCTCTAAAAAATATTTTTGAGCACCTCTAGCCTAGAATTAAAATTCTCATAAACCTTGAATAACAAATTAGGAATCTAGTTTTTGAAAACCTTGTTCATATTTAAACCACTTAGTTTCATAGCAAGGATATCTCATATTGTTACGTCGCTGATTCTTAAATTGCTGCTACTTTTTAGAGTCGTAGTTAAAATCTTCCTGGATTTTTTTTTCTTTCAGATTTTACAATGTATTTAATGAGGGAGGGGGATAATAAATTATTAGATTATCTTGTGTTTTTAAAATTTTAAACAACGAGGACCTCTTTATACACAAATCATTTATTTCTTTGATTGGTAAAAATCATTGATACTTACAAATTTCAACATTTTTTAATCTCAAATAATAAAAAGCACAACCCACTAGATTTTAAAGATTTTATTGGATCCGGGTGGGGTGGGACAAGAGAATTATTTTAATTTTCAAAAAAGTCCGACGTCTAATTTTGTATGTATACATATTGACAGTCCATTTTTATCTACAATTTGTATATAAAAAAAGAAGAAGAAAAGATAATTTACACTGATTTATTTTCTTCGCAGTGTTTTCATGATTTCTATTACTGTCCAGTTACATGTAATAACGAGATTCATTAAAAGTTGACATAACCAACGGCTCTTCTTCATAAATAAAAGGGAAACCATAGTGAAGAAAAAATATTTAGCACACTGTCTGACGTTTCTTTATGGTACGTACATGACAATCACTCAAGCTTAAATAAATAGAAGTGGCACATGTCACGTTTCCTTTTACTTTAATTTTTCTGTTAAAATCAGATTATAGGCTAAATTAAAACAATTATCAAAATATTAATCAGTAGATATCCAAATAATTGTATACATAAAAATCTTACCTTTACATATTAAGACTCCAATTAAGAGTTTGATCGCCAGAGAGACCACTGACCTCGTTTTCATGTTGTAATAAATCATGGCTGGAATCTAATGTATACAGCTTCGAGGTAAAAAGAGGTAAAATTGAACAGTTGACGTGTTATATTCTGCATTTTAAAGTAATTTTATTTTGTGATCAAATTATGCAATACAAAGCAAAATGAAATATAAAACAAAGAACAGGATCTTATTTGGGGAAGGTTTTTGCATGATTTTATTCTTATTGCGGACATTTTATTAATTCAGACGAGTGAAAGTTTAATTACACGTGTTATCGCATTACGTCACGAAAAATTCCATTACACACCTATCTTACCAAGAAATGTATGAAGATATAGCTAACAGTATTCAAGCTCAAAAGTCCATCAAACAATATAAAATAGGAGAAAAGAAAACACGGACCACCAAAACACCAAGAGGGGGGATCAGGTGCCACGGAGGAGTGAGCATCCCCTGCAAACCGGCCATACCCATCTTGTGCTCCTTGTCATGATCGGGAAATAACGGAAAAATCCGTTAACAATTCAGTGTGTAAATAATGGCCTAAAAAGTAGTATGAAAAACGTCAGTCAGCATTTGCCTTGGCATGGATTATATTTGCTGACAAGAGTATTGTATCTACCAAAGAACTTACGAAATGATGACTTTAAATAAACGAAACTGCTGATATTCTTGTTTTATCAACTTGTTTGTCAAAAAATTACCTCATTTTAGAAATTGTAATGCTCTTGCGTATCGAATCAACTGAGAGATAAACCAGAAGTCTTTGTCGAGACTGTAGCTCTACTGGTTTATACTTAAAACAAAGGAAGAGAAAAGTAGCAGTTGGGACTTGAGACTTTAAATCAGCAATAAATAGAAGAATGATCCTTGCCACTCATCAAAATAAAAACCAATGCACAGAATTATGTATCTTAGTATAGTCTACTTGTGTGCCAAGTTATACTGAAATCAGACCAAAACTGCAGGAGGAGTAGCATTTTGAAAGAATTTCACAGAAATTTCTATTTTTAGTAACCATGGCAACATTGTTCATTGAAATCAAAAACCGATGCACAGAATTATGTATCTTAGTGTAGTCTACTTGTATGCCAAGTTATATCAAAATCAGACCAAAACTGTAGGAGGAGTAGCATTTTGAAAGAATTTCACAGAAATTTCTATTTTTAGTAACCACGGCAACACCGTTTATCGAAATCAAAAACCGATGCACAGAATTATGTATCTTAGTGTAGTCTACTTGTGTGCCAAGTTATACTGAAATCGGACCAAATCTGTAGGAGGAGTAGCATTTTGAAAGAATTTCAAAGAAATTTCTATTTTTAGTAACCACGGCAACACCGTTCATCGAAATCAAAAACCGATGCACAGAATTATGTATCTTAGTGTAGTCTACTTGTGTGCCAAGTTATAATGAAATTGGACCAAAACTGTAGCAGGAGTAGCATTTTGAAAGAATTTCACAGAAATTTCTATTTTTAGTAACCACGGCAACACCGTTTATCGAAATCAAAAACCGATGCACAGAATTATGTATCTTAGTGTAGTCTACTTGTGTGCCAAGTTATACTGAAATCGGACCAAATCTGTAGGAGGAGTAGCATTTTGAAAGAATTTCAAAGAAATTTCTATTTTTAGTAACCACGGCAACATCGTTCATCGAAATCAAAAACCGATGCACAGAATTATGTATTTTAGTGTAGTCTACTTGTGTGCCAAGTAATATTGAAATTGGACCAAAACTGTAGGAGGAGTAGCATTTTGAAAGAATTTCAAAGAAATTTCTATTTTTAGTAACCACGGCAACACCGTTCATCGAAATCAAAAACCGATGCACAGAATTATGTATCTTAGTGTAGTCTACTTTTGTGCCAAGTTATGTTGAAATCAGACCAAAACTGTAGGAGGAGTAGCATTTTGAAAGAATTTCACAGAAATTTCTATTTTTAGTAACCACGGCAACACCGTTCATCGAAATCAAAAACCGATGCACAAAATTATGTATCTTAGTGTAGTCTACTTGTGTGCCAAGTTATATTGAAATCGGACCAAAACTGTAGGAGGAGTAGCATTTTGAAAAATTGTTTACAGACAGACAGACAGACAGACAGACAGACGGACGGACGACAGACGCATTACTATCGCATAAGCTCATCTGGTCTCTGACCAGTAGAGCTAAAAACCCGTATGCAGGTAATAAAGGTACCAGTAAATTGCTGCATATTATAGGTAAGGGAAGAAGACGATTGAAAAGTTGAAGTCGTCACATTAATCATAAAGCTTGGTTGTTAGATTAACACGATCGTCTTTTTCAGTAAAATATCAAAACATGCCCTTCCCTCTTCAATTGGGATTTTCAAATTATAAAACTTATATGGTAAAATATGTAAAACGCTGGGAAACTTTCTCCTCCTCCCCCCAACCCGGAAAAAGAATTTCTTGTAAACGACTGAAAAGTGTAAATAGACTTTTAACAAAATAAGCATGTCCCATCTTCCCGACAGGAAACTCGATCAATAAATCTATACATTTCTTTAATAAATAAATTATTTATGTATTAATTTCTTACTTATTGTTTACTTCCATTCTCATGGAGGAAAAACAGCTATATCCTCAATTAATTTCAAAATAATAGTTTTTCAATTAATATCACATGAACACAGGCATACAATTTGTATAGTAGGCCGAGGGCGGACCTTTTCTTATAGAGCCAGGCGGACCTAATATGTTATCGTATTAGGTCCGGCCGGACCTTTAAACGAGGCGGACCAAATATTATGCGACACCGGACGTTGTGGTGCGGTAGGTTTATACCGCCTGATCACAACACTTTTGATTATGTCCGTGATTATGTCGCTACGAGAGCTGTACTTGCTCAGGTCCTCTGAATTGAAGGACGGAGAGGGCTAGGCTGGTTGTGCGGTGAGTCAGGAGTAGGGTACAGGAGAGAAAGGAGGCTGGGGTGGGCCAGGAGTAGGGTACAGGAGAGGCAGGCGGCTGGGGGTTGGTCAGGAGAAGGGTACAGGAGAAACAGGCGGCTGGGAGTTGGTCAGTAGTAGGATACAGGAGAGGCAGGCGGCTGGGAGTTGGTCAGAAGAAGAGAAAAGGAGAGACAGGCGACTGGAGGGGGGGAGGAGTAGGGTACAGGAGAGACAGGCGGCTGGGGGTGGGTCAGGAGTAGGGTACGGAAGAGACAGGCGGCTGGGAGTTGGTCAGGAGACGGGTACAGGAGAGACAGGCGGCTGGGGGGCAGGAGTAGTGTACAGGAAAGACAGGTGGCTAGGAGTTAGTCAGAAGAAGGGTACAGGAGAAACAGGCGGCTTTGGGGGTTGGTTGGGTGGGTTAGGAGTAGGGTTCAGGAGAGACAGGTGGCTGTGCGGTTGGTCAGGAGTAGGGTACAGGAGAGGCAGGTGACTGTGGGGTTGGTCAGGCGTAGGGTACGGGTGAGACAGGCTGCTGGGGTGGGCCAGGAGTAGGGTACAGGAGAGACAGGCGGCTGGGGGGAGCAGGAGTAGGGTACAGGAGAGACAGGCGGCTGTGAGTTCGTCAGGAGAGGGGTACAGGAGAGACAGGCGGCTGTGGGTGTGCCAGGAGTAGGGTAAAGGAGAGGCAGGCGGCTTGGGGTGGGCCAGGAGTAGGGTACGAGAGAGGCAGACAGAAAGGGGGATCAGGAGTAGGGTACAGGAGAGACAGGCGGCTGGAGGTGGATGGGCCAGGAGTAGGGTACAGGAGAGGCAGGTGACTGTGGGGTTGGTCAGGAGTTGAGTACGGGAGAGACAGGCGCTGTGGATGGGCCAGGAGCAGGGTACAGGAGAGACAGGCGGCTGGGGTGGGCCAGGAGTAGGGTACAGGAGAGGCAGGCGGCTGTGGGTGAAGTTTGTGTAGTTTGTTTCTTCAGCTGCCATGACCCAGCAATGGTGGTGTGTGGGAATCTGAAGACGTGGCAATAAATTAAATAAAATTCGTAACATATATCATCACATTGAAAAATAAATGTTTCAAGAGAGAGAGAGAAAGAGAGAGAGAGAGAGAGTTCGATCGCCACTAACACCACTGACCTCTTTTTCAGTTTTCATATTGTCATAAATCAGGGCTTAAATCTAATGAATAGAGCTTCGAGGTAAAAAGAGATTAAATTTAACAGTTGACGTGCTATTCTGCATTTTAAAGAAATTTTATTTTTTTTTATCAAATTATGCAATATAAGGAAAAAAGAAGAAGAAATAAATAAATAAAGAACAGGGTATTATTTGGGGAAGGTTTTTGCATACATCTTTTGTTATTGCGGACGTTTTATTAATTCAGACGAGAGGAAGTTATAATTACAAGTGTTATCGCAATACGTCACAAAAGATGCCATTACTTCCATTACCTGTCTTTCCATAAAATATATGGGGATAACGAACAGTTTTCAACCTCAAAAGTTCAATAAACAATACAAAATATGAGCAGAGCAAACAGGGACCTCCAAATCATTAGAGGTGGGATCAGGTGCCATGTCTAAGTGAACATCCCCTGCCGTCCGGCCACAATTGGAAAATAACGGAGAAATTGCTTCAACAATTCATTTTTTTTTTTTAAAAAATAATGGCTTAACAATTAGTATGATAAACGTCAGCCAGCATTTGCCTTTGACTTGTTATTAATTGTATTTGCTAACAGGGTCATTGTATCGACCATAGAACTTACGAAATGATGTTTCGGCAACTTTTTGTACCAGTTTATCTCGTTTTAGAAGTTGTTCATACGTAGGGCATGCCCTCGCGTATCGAATCCTGCAGCTGAGACATATAAACGCCGTATGCAGTAGTGTACAGGACAGGCATGCAGCTGTGGGATGGGCCGGGAGTAGGGTACAGGAGAGACAGGCGGCTGTGGGTGAAGTTTGTGTAGTTTGTTTCTTCAGTTGCCATGACCCAGCAATGGTGGTGTGTGGGAATCTGAAGATGTGGCAATATATTAAATAAAATTCGTAACATATATCATCACATTGAAAAAACAAATGTTTCAAAAGATAGAGAGAGAGAGAGAGAGAGAGAGAGAGAGAGAGAGAGAGAGAGAGAGAGAGA